GGGAGGTGGATACTCTCCTCGGCGAGTAAAGATGCGAGGGAGGAGGAATACGTCGGGTAAGGGGACCGACGATTACTGGGCACCAAAGCCGCGAATCACCGGCATCACGCCGGGAATCTGCAACCGCGCCTTAGGCCGCCAATCCGCCACCGACTTTGCCGCGATTCCTCTCTCTCTCTCTCTTTCTCTCTCTGTTCTTTTCGTCCCACGATCGACCACCATTCGAACGGCCTTCCCCTTTTTTCCCCCGTCTGAAACTGTTCCTCTGTCTCTGGAACTCTGTTTAACCGCGCCACCTTCCTCCTCATCCCCCCCCAGAAAATTTGCAAATTATATGGATAATGGGAGAGAGAGAGAGAGAGAGAGAGAGAGGAAAGGAGACCCGCCCTATTCGTTCGACGAGGCGCCGTCGCTCTTTTTTCTTTGTCTATCTTATATGGAATGGAAATTATTAGTCGGTTTAATAAAATACTTAAATAGTCGGTACGGGTCCGCGTAAATTTCGAGATTTAAAAATTTAAAAGAGGCGCCAATTCCACGGTACTGCATTGGACGTGTTGGGGGAGCTTCAGGCTTTGAGATGTAGCATTGCACGGTGCTGCCTCGTAACACTAGCCACTCGAACCAGCCACGAGATGCACACCAGAACTTAACCTTACTTTGGCTGGGAGAACGAGTTATTTATAGATTGCTAACTTTAACAATTTTCGAGTGCACGTTTTTTAAGATTCTCACCGCACACTTGAACCATTTGCCCATACCGGGGATTCGTATGAACGTTTCTATCAGCGTAACGGGCATTGCATCATTTTTACATGCGCGTTACGTTACCTGTCTCTTCGTACGAAAATTATATGGGAAATTTCTTATAGTATAGCACTATTTTCACACACGATTCGTGCAATTGGATGATCAAGCGTCGATTAAATACCTTGTATATCCTATCTTCACTGTTTCTAAATAAATATCACCGTACAACGCGTGGCAAAGAAAGGAACACAGCACTACACTGACGTCACACGTTCGACCGGCCTTCAGTCGCGAAATAGGGAACTGTATTACCAGCCGAGAGCATCTTCGATCGAATAGAAAAAGGAGAGAGAGGAAGAGAGAGAGAGGAAAGAAAAACAAGAGGCGAACTAGATGGATTATTAAATAAAAAAAAAGGATCAATCGACGAGTATTCTTATTTATTCGAACTGCCTCGAATAACGACAATACGGTCAATTTTATCGTTCAATTTTTCGTATTGCCATTTTGATGCTTCAGTTTCGCTTTGTAATTTTTGCGAAACGATTCCCTAGTTGATTTCAATGATTTGATCCGCTCTAAGTATCTATAATTCGGAGACCAGTTCATTGTAATTCTAGGAATAGAATTTATGAAATGAAGCGCTACCTTTAATCTCTTGGAAGAAAAAGGGGTCATCAGCGAGAGAGAAAGAGAGAGAGAGAGAGAGAGTTGATTGTAATGCTTTCGTAGAAACCATAAACACGCATGCTTCTTTCGCAACAAATATATCTCCTTCGAGATTAAAAAAAAATATATATACACGATTTGATTGAAATCGTTGTAACGCTTTTTCATCGAGAATTGTAATTTCGTCCAAATAGGACGAAAACGTGCGTTTTTTTTTTTTTTCTTTTTTCACGATAACCATGGATTCATCAACTGAGACACGAGCGCGTTTACGATTACAATTAATTATCGTACGTTGCGTACAAAAGTTTTTATAAATGCGCGTGTGTACGTAGAGGAGAAGATCGATACGATCGAAAATACGAACGCGATTATTGGATCTAATTCGACGGTGTGCGTTATGTGATGGGAACGCACGTTGTGGATCACCGGAGGGCCGTAATTCGAAGGATAATATTAAGATTGCTTCAGAATGAAAGAGAAAGAAAAAAAAAAAAAAAAAGATGGCCGAAGATGGCCGCGCGTGTGTGTGCCCTTACGGTCTACGGTCCTTTTAGTGGCGCCGTGAGATCGGATCGAGAAAAGAACGAGACGATCGTTTTGAATTTTAAAATTTTTTTTTTTTTTTCTTTATACTACACATCCGAGAAAATAAAAATTTCTCTCAGAAATTGATTTTCATATCGTTTCGATTAGAACGAACGAAGTGTTTGATTCGATCGTAATTAAATCGTTGGCAAAATTTCTGATAACCTGACCAACCGAATCGAATATTTGTTACGAGCTTGATATTACGTTAACCGATATTTCATTTGGCGAACAAATTTCTAACATTGTGCTCGACCTTGTGCCGTATGATTATTTCAATTATTTTATTACGAACCGTATCAATCTCGGCCCATATAATGCATATAATCAGAAGGCTATTATTCCACGAGCGCACGGCTGGCGGAAAGGACCTATTCCCCTACCTCCTCCATAGTCCATACCTCCATAGTCTCGCCCGGTTTTCGTGATATTGTAATTTGGAGACCGCAAACGTCGCTGACGTCACTGGTGCACCATGGTCGAGGAGCATCTTGCCGGCGTGGCGCACGATCGAAACTCCTTCCTCTCTCTCTCTCCCCCCTCTCTTATTGGCCGACAATTTCGATGAAAAGCATATTAAAGGCCGACGAATTATAGGAATTTCGGCGGATTAGATTGTCGGCCGAATTGAAGGATTGCGTTACTAATTCGCGACGAAAACGCAACGACGCGCTGCCGCTCGTTGCTTTCAAGATTTATTTGGTTGGATTGATTGCGATGAAGGTTAAATTACGAAGGTAAATACACGAAGGCAATCCTTTCGTTCGATAACCGAGCGAAAAGAGAAGAAGAAGAAGAAGAAGATCTGAGGGCAGGTCCGAGGAAGGAAGAGAAACAGCGTCAACTCTTTGTTCAAACATTATGTGTATACACCACCGCGGGCTGTCATTTATTCAGAGGCGATTGCACGCCATTACGTTTCGCCAGTTGTTTGGTTATACCGTTTCGAATGTACCGAGGTGGTTTATTGCTAGAAAAAATAGAAGGTGGATCGTAAATGGAATAACAGGGTGCAGGGAATGAGAACAGAGTTTGCATTTGAAGATAATAAAACGTAGAAAACGATCGTTTAATGAGGAAACGTACGGGACTGGTTTTTTTTACGAGGAAATAACGTTCAAACTATCAAGCCAATTAGACGCTTCTTTTCCTCGAATCTCGTTGATGATACACTCAATCCAAATTATCATTAAAGACAACTTAATTTGTATATTAATTAATAGCGTTATTCTAATCGAATTCGATTCCATTCTCCCCCTTGCATATTCCCAAAGGAGGATTGGCAAAGCGAAGAAAAGCTAGCAGAGGGAAAGAATGGAAATAATTCTTGATGTAAAATTCTCGTAGGATATATTTCGATCCCCCCTTTTTCTCGAGAAATAACGTTATTGCCTAATTTAAGTTTCTTCTTTTCTTTTTTTTTTCGTTGCTCTCGTTTTATGCTTCTCAAAGAGGAAGGAAGCGTGAAATGAAAAAAAAAAAAGAGAAAAAAAAAAAAAAATTGAAGAAGAAGAGGAGGAAGAAGCATGCTAATATATGGGAATCATTGACTTCTTCATTCTTAAATAGTTTAAAATTATACTTATCCAGGATGGAACCGATTACAACACTGTATCAAGATAGACTAGAAACTACATCCCTACGCAACAACTAATTGCATAGGGACGGGGAAAGAAGCCTTGATAATTCCTCGAGCATGTAGCCACGCAATTAAGGTGTAACGTTTTCTGAAGTTCTGGTCGTAAACAACGCGGGCAAAGTAGCGGAACCTCCGGAGGCTCGGTTCCGCCCGTCAATTGTTACCAATTGTTACCAATCAGAGTAATACGTGTCATTACGGTGCGAGAAGGTTAGCAGCGAATACGGCTCCGCCGCCAATCCACCGCCATGCACCACGGGATCCACGAGCGCGCGATATTAATTCGCGATGTAATTACGTCGACTCGTGTGCAATCACGTGCATTAATTAATCCACTCTACGCTCGTATATATATTTTATCAAAGTTGGCTCATCGACATATCGCGCACATACACACACACACACATATATATATATACATATAGTTATCTCGATTAAAAAAAAATGAATCAGTGAAACTGATAATTTTAAAAGAATTAAAAGTGACACGCTAACGTTAGTGTCTCGATATACAGTCACGTATTCCACTTAAATTATTCGTCGCGACGAAACTACGCATGAAACTCTGATGTAATTAAAAACAATAAGGATGGTGGTATTATAATAATAATAATAATAATAATAATAGTAATAGTAATATTTCAAGGTTACGGGAGTCATTAATTAAACTATAAATATAATTAGCCTTGCTATTATAACGCGCGGGTGAATAAAAAATATGCCGCCGCACACCTGTCATTACACAGCTGGAATATATGGAACGATTAAAATTAATTAGCGGGACATAGATTCGTTTCTTAACACGTTTCTCTTTTTTTCCTTTTCTTTTTTTAACTGTCGCCGTCCGACAATTTGTTTAAAATTAATTAAGATAGCGCATCAAATGGCAAGGTACGAGGGAACTTTACGGTCCAGAAATCCGGTGTTGTTTTTGCTGCTTATATATATATATATATATATAAATAGGTGTCGTGAGAGTTCGCCGCGGCTCAAGTGGAATAAGCCGACGAAGAGAGGACCGCGCTTTGCGTTTTCTTTACGTCTTCCTCGCGTCGGCCTTACCCACTCGTCGATCCACTCTACTACTACTCTATTGATGCCTACCGATTTTTCTTTTCTCTTTTTGCAAACCACGCAAATTTCCTCTTCCACGAAACGGATACACGTTGTTGCGAATATTGCTCGACGAAGATGAGCTCTTTGTCCTTTTTTCCACGGTTTAAGGGGCTCGGTCTGATTGGAGCTCGTGTTGGCCAGTGAACAGCAGCCGATCGAGATCGATTCGAAAGTCTCGATGTATCGTGCTCGTTGTGGAGCTATAAGAAGAAGAAGAAGAAGAAGAAGAAGAAGAAGAAGAAAAGCAACGCGTTCGTGCATCGCGTGGCAGAAACCGAACCAACCAGTGGCCACGCCTCCTTAGACAGCCGCCAGCCAACAATTAAGA